AAAACCACCTTGACTTCATCCTCATATTGCTCCTGATCAACATCAAACCCTCCCTCAATTCCTACGAGAAAAACATGAAAGCTTTATATCCTCTTGTGTTTCAAAATAATATGCTTAATAACAATAAAAACTAGATGTACTAAAATATTAAGCAAACACTGAGGAGAAAAGAAAGCAGGTGCTTACCAATTGCCAGTCTTGTGGGCTTCTTTTTTGGAGGATCACCAGATCCAGAATTGGGATCATCCTCCTTCTGATAGACAAACAATATTAGTCAACATTTGCCTGAAGAACAGCACAGGAAACGAGACACTACAAAACTTTGCAATTGCAATTCGTATTTGCTTAGTTCAAAAGAGATGACATGATATACATCAACAACAGTGAAATAAAATTCAAGAAAGTTTTTCATTAAAATAATTTATTCTAAACCATATTATTTATGGTATATGTCGTCTATGTTGATTTCCAGAAAAGTCTAACTGTTGCAGCAAGTTATACAATGCCCACCCAATTTGTTTTTGCAGCCTTGGTTACGTTATGTTTTTCCATATTTTTTTAAGTCTTAATTTAAGAGTTATAAGCCATGAATTAACACAACATTACAAATTTTGATATGAAGCAAAACAGTTTTTTTTTTTTTTTACTGTTTACAGTAAGACTGTGTAGAGTAATTGAAGTTGCAATGAAACAAAAGTAGGGACAGTTCTTATATTAAGTATTGTGATGCATATCTGAGTGTAACAAAACATCAAAAAAAGAAATGTATTGGTTCTATGCATTTGTTTATGTGGATTTTAAGATGTGGGTGTTGCATTCAAAAGTGGAGGTGGATGAACATGAACTTGCAGAAAAGCCTGTTATTTCACAGGAAGGACATGCTATTTTGATTTAACACTAGGTCAAATTTTTTTTTTTTTTTTTACGAAACAGGCATGAACTGTTCTCAATTAGATCTATAACATGCACTTAGAAAGTAGACAAGATCAATTTTATTTTTATGACCTTTATGGCTTTATTGAACTAAAATCCGATAAAGCACTGCAAACGACAAATTTGACAAATGTTAATTACATACATTTAGGCAATTTGTTTATATTTATAGCAAATTATGCATGTTATGCATAACTGTTACAACATTTGCAGCTTTATTGAAGTGGGCATTCATCATGGAGAGCAGTTTCTGCATGATTTGCTTGTCACAATTCCCTGATTGGAGGATATTTCTTTGGACATTCATGAATAATGTAGTTCTTCAAAAGGAATTTTACTGTTAAACAAATTAGTTGAAAATCTAGGCTTATGGTTTCAACAAATGGGTTCAATATATAATTTATTAACCACCTAGTAGTAGCTCACAACAAGTCTGGCTTTAATGGTTAAAATTATCATTAAAAATCAATGTGCCTAAGGAGAAATTTTTAGTCGATTTATTACTTCCCAACCCAAATGTTTAACATGAATAAACGCTTTGTCCCACCCAGCCTGAAACAGCAACACTGGCTAAACCAATGGCGTGAGTCTAGAGGCGGGACTCTGTTTGTCTGGCCAATGAAATACAGGAGGTGTGTTAGGGAAACCTGTTTGACAATAATCCATTTTATTTTCTTCTTTTAAAATTACGTTTGGAGAATGGGGGCTTTAAAGATTTATGAACATGTACTAAAACCATACTTTATTATTCATAAATTCACTGAATGATGTGTCATGCGTTTCTGTGCTTACCTGTGTTTTCCGGGTCCTGGTGATATGCAGGTAAGCTCTCTGACCAGTTTTGGCGTGGTGTCGGTCTACGTACTTACTTCCAAAGCCGAGAAAGCTGTTCATACAGACATACAAGCCTCCCTCACTCTCCTGAAACAATTGGAAAGAACTGCTATAACAAAATACTGTTGGTCAGCAACACCACGAGCGCAATGAGGCTGCCTCACGCGCACAATGACAAAATAACATTCACGCGCGTGATACAGAAGCACACAGGCTTCTGAATATAAAAAACTTTGCAGGTAAATTACTAGCTCAAGTTAGCGTTATAACTAGCTTGCAGCTAGCAAAAGTTGTAACGTTATATAATCGGATAATTTGAAGTTACAGAAAATGAATGAATGGCTTAACGTTAGTCGAGATGTAAGTTAACCAAAGAGTGCAGAGTCAAGTCAACAGTGCAATGATGACTAACGTAACCTAATGAAGGAAAATAGTGCAAACTTGAGCGCTAGTTAGCAAACATTCCGATATCTCACAGCTTGTAAGAAGACAAAAGCAAAACAGCAACCTTATACAAACAAGCAAATCAATCAATCCAGAAAGTGCGCGATGACTGTGCAGTCTGCTGGACTCACCGGGCTGGCGAATGAGAAGGCGCACTCGTCTTTGTGAACACGATCTCCGGGCCTCGGAACCCGAATCGTAGACAGAACCGACATCAATATCTCGCTAACCTCCGTCATCTCTGGCTAAACACAATTTGCCTTCTTGCCTACACACTTGCCCGACTGGGTTTTTTGGCCCCCGCTCCTGAAATACAGTCCACTTGAAGTCTCTGACAGCCACTTCTTTCTCTGTTTTCCCTCAATGAAAGCTGCTGCTGCTGATGATCCAGTGTGTTTCATTCGAGGCCAGGGGCGCTGCACACACTCGCACTGCACGCATTACAGCCGCAAATGCTTGACCGTAACATGTCTAAAATGCACGCACATATTTTAAAATTACATTTTAATTTTCGACATAAAAATTGCAAATATGCATGTTTGTTGAGCGTCTTTCATGGAAGAGGATTTAAGTGATCGCTTAATGCAACATAGTAATCTTGGCGTTACAAATACTTTCTTTAGTACATTATCACAGAGGAGACATTTTAAACTGTATTTTGAAGTCTCGTTTATTTTGTGTACTACGGTAATATGGAAGCCATGACAGTTGACAAAATGAGAAAGCGGAAAATATTTACCTCATGTAAATAATAACACTGGCCTCATGCGGCTTGGAGTGGAAGTGCGGCCTTTAGGCTTAAAAAGTCTATGGGGAGCCTATGAGAATCAGAGTCTCTTTGAAATTACAATTACGTTCCTGTCATTATCGTTGTATTTGTGGTGTGGACTTGTCTTTTCTCATAGAATTACAACAATTATTAAAACTAACTATCATTACAGTTGTCCAAGGTGTGAATGGGCCAATTAACCCTCTCTAAAAGTAATTTTCCAGAAGTAAAATTGTTAATAGTCATTAATTGTTAATTCATTTTAATTACTACATTACATTATTACACGTGTTGCATGAATATGCTAATTGGTTCCCGCCTTCACTCAGTCACAGTCACACCAGCGTGGTGGACTAACTGATCCACTCGGTCAACTAATGCTACAAGCGGAAATGTTGGTTTAATTCAGCCATATGTTCGAACCAGAAACTGATTCAGAAGAAGAGCAAATTATACAGGCCCAGGTACAGGGGTGCTTGATGGTGCTAAACTAAAAAATGTTCGCCATCAGACGTCTAATGAGAAACTCCTCACTGCAGAGCAAATTGGTAGAGCTGTATATGTAGCTGCAGAAGTGAATGTAATTTGGGCCTAATGGGTGGAGCTAAACCTCCAAGTAAATGATGACAGAATTTTCATTTTTGGGTGGAGTATCCCTTTAACTGCTCACCCATCCCTTTCGAAGAAGCTATGGTTGCTAAAACGGGACAAACATAGAGAGCCTAAGTCCCTCCCTTTCCGGGGGACCATCATGGGACCTTATTTCGAAAAAAATATTGTATGGTAGTCAATGGCGAGAGACAACAAATATTTTGATCTCGAATGAATTGTGCCCTGAATTACACATATGATGTTTGTCAATTTAAAAGATACATTCTAAAGTAAAGAAAGTTGCAGTTTGATGTAAAACCGTTGAGGTATGAGACTGTGAAAATATGTAATTACAAAGACTACAAACCCCAAAGGCGCACATTTTCTCTCAATGAATGAAGCTATCTTTACTGAGGTTAATGTCTGTCATTGTTTCTATAGATTTACGTAATTGTAACATTATGCCGTCATGCCTGAGTGTTTTGTACCAGACTGCACCCACACGAGCAGCGGATCTCGCTCGTTGTTTTGCTTCCCGGGAGATGTAGTTCATTGAGCGATTTTCACATAAAACTAAATGTTACTCTTCTGTTTTATGACAAACTGTGACGTTTTTGACTTTCACAATTATCTTTTAAATTGAAAAACATAATATGTGTAATTCAAGGCACAGTTCAGACGGAATAAAAAGATACGTTATCTCTCGCCATTGACTACCATACATATTTTTTCCAAAATAAGGTCCCATGAGCCGGAAGCGGAGGGGCGGGACTTAGGCACTCTATCGGCGTCTGAGGCAGCAGAGAATTGCCAGAGTAAGCCAAGTTTCTGTACCAAAGTCCATTATAAACATCATGGATAAAGTTTACAAACAATATTCACCATATCATCTCACCATTTCACCATATCCAACTCCTCCCATCTTACATACACCTAAACCTACCTACCCCTGATCCCTAAACCTATATACCCCAAATCCCTAAAGTCAACCCTAATCCGACCCATCTCCACCCCTTGGATCTTGATCCGACTCCTCCCCGTGGATCTCATGTACTGCATTGAGGTGCTACTGGAAATATTACACATTGCACCGTTAAGCATATTAAAAACGTACCACACTGACATTGAAACAATAAAAAACCCCAGGGTTTTTAAATATATATTGTACAGCCTATGTTTTTAGGTAATAACCCTAACACTTTACTTTTCCAGTTAAAACTTTTTTTTAGTAATAATTTACTTTATGAATGTATATAGGGAATGAACATTACAGGGAATGTATAATAGGCCTAAACACAAAATAATAATGCACCAACATTTTTATTTTTATAGAAGCAAATGTGTCCACAGACACACGTTTCCTCTCTCGTGCTGTACCTATATTTCTTGCCAGCAGGCACGTATTCCCCTCATTCCTCTGTGGGACCTCCTCCCTCCCTTCATCCCAGCCACAGTCCCTGCATTATGGCGATACTCTCAAACACAATCCCTGTATACGTGGCGTTCCTCTTCATTCTCAAATATGTATCTAAAACTGCAGGCAGTGGACTATCTTCAGAGAGTTCATCCAGACTTTTACCGCCTTACGATGAGCTCTATTACCGCGGGGTTCGGGCGTATTTTAGGGAGGACTGGGAGCGCGCGGCGGAGTTCCTGGAGAAATCCATTTCCACGCGAGACATGCTCCTGCGGACCAGGCGAAAATGTCACGATGAGTGTTTAACAATAGGAGATGAAAAATTCTCCAAACTAGGTAACTGTTAACTTTATGTACAAATGGACAAAATATATTTTGCGTGTCTCAGTGTGCGAGTGTTTCAATGACCTGGAGAGCATTTAAATTACAGTGCTTGAAACAGTCTAACTAATGCTGCAGAATGAAACATGCCATGCAAACTGGAGACTGGAGTTAATTTCCATGACTTGTCCTGTTGACTGCGTATGTGTGTAGACAGAGCGGATGTTAGTCTCTGGGACCTGGGGGTGCTAGAATGGATGCAGTTGCGGGCCGAGTGTGTGAGGTTCTGCATGGGTCGAAGTGTTTCTCCTGCTGCTCTGCTCCCAGTATCTTCAGACATCGAGTATGAATTTGAAACACGCAACCCTTACAACTACCTGCAAGTCACCTACTATAAGGTAAAATCAGTAATCATAAAGATTTTAAATCAAATCAGTCTAATAATATATCACAACACCTGGAAAGGTCCGAGTAACCCTGCCCTTTTTGTAAGTTTAAACTCTCTTCCCCCCCTCTGTATAGTTGGGAAAAATGGACAAAGCAGCTTCAGCAGCTCACACGTTCTTTGTGGCCAATCCGAGTCACCTGGAGATGAGGAACAACATTGAGAAGTACAGGAGGATGATAGGAGTGAAAGATGAATCCTTCCAGGACAGAGAGAGAGAGCAGGAGCAACACTGGGTGAGTTCAACAGAAGAGAAAAGCAGTCTGGGTATTTACAACTCAAAGTATGTATAGATTAAATGTAGCAGTGGATGTGAACCTTAATAGAACAGAATAGAATTGTAATGAAAAAATTGATAGGTAAAATAAGCTAAGGCTTCAGCCTACACATTTTCCGGTTAATATACATTATATTGATTATGGAAAACTGTGTATGAGGACTTAACTCAATCTTGATGGTGATAAACAAACTAAAATAACACCACCAATGTCACCACTGTTAGTGTTGTGAGTCATAATAGTTATTTTGTTTTTCTAGTGTGTTGTGCAGGCTGTTATTTTGGTAGTTTCTTCCCACATTGACCAAATGGGGATAACCATATGTGGATAACTTCTTTTAAATTGTATACTTCTGCATCTCACTGTCCTCACTCGTCTCTTGCGAAATGATAAAACGAAATGATAAAAGTTATAAAATGAACCACATTAGCTGTCCTGTATACCCCTTACTCTGCCATCATTTTTTCACATTATTTATCATTTTTTAGGAGATGTACGATGCAGCTATCCTGGCTGAGAGCTCATCTGATTGGGTAAAGGCTGTGAAGAAGTGGAAGGAGTGTGTGAATGGGACTCTCAAGCAGACGGAAGAGTGCAGAGCTCAGTGTGTGATGGCGCCACAGGTCTTTCCGGAGGAGACGGACACTGCACGTGGAGTTTACGAGAGAGCTGCAGGTCAAAAAGGATTTTTATTTACAAAGTCTTATCAAGTTATTGCAGCCACTATTAATAGTATAACATCTGATAATTTCAAGGAAAAGTAAAACTGGTTACTTCTCTTCTTTGCAAAGAATATTTTAAATAATATGTTGGACCATCATGGCACATTTTGTTTATTATATAACAGATGAGTGAACTCTCTGTCTCTTCAGACCTCTCTCTCTCCTTGCTTTCATGCAAACAGATGTGCGTGACCTTAGTGTCAACGCGACCTGGAAGGGTTTCTGCTCTGGAAGACTTTCTGCCCTTACAGCTCGAGCATCTACATATTGCACAGTTTAAAGGTCAGATGTCATTTATAGGTCAGGTGTTATTAATACAGAACTGATATACACTGATATTTCCTGCTCGTGTTTGCTCACAAATGCCAGTGTTTTTGTAATTTAATTGTTCAAATTGGCTTATTTCTAATTTCTGATCAGTATAAAATTTTAATACCAGGTCATGCATAAGCATAGCCTACATTTTTTTATGTTACAATTTGGATGTGCATAGCAGTGTTATTTTAGTATTATTCAATTTTAATGTTTTAATTTTTTGTTTCTAGTAATTTTATATGCTTTTGCCATTTTTTTTATTAAATTTTTTTTTTATTAATACTTGGCTTTAATTTTCTTTTATTGCAGTTTTAGTTATTTTAGTACTTAAAATTTATTTTATTTTGGTTAGTTAATATATAAGTAAGTAAATATTTCTAAAGTTTCTAAAAATATTTCTAAAGTTTTTCCTTGTATATATATATATATATATATATTTAAAATATAAAAATAAAAAATAAAATATATATATATATTTTATTTCCGATTTATTTTAATTAACCAAAACTATTTTTAATAGTTTTAGTTAACAATAACATTATAACAACACTAACATAACAATCGAAATACTATTCTGTTTGAGAAACTTCACTATACAAAAAACTCTTTTTACTACAACTCTTTGATGTCCCATAGCTGGTGACCTGAAGGGGGCGGTGGAGACCCTGCGCTCCTTGATGCTCTTTTACCCCACTGATTCAGACTCCCTTAGTAACCTGGAGCTCTACTCTCAGGCTCTAGAGGGCGACACGGAGGCTCAGGAAACAGGCCCTTTGCAGGTATGATGATTGGACTGCTGGAGTAACTATGACACATGGGTGATGGGGTAGAAAGAATAATGTTTGCATTTATAGATCGGTGTGTCTGTTTGATGAATGGATGAGTCAATGAGTAAAATCAATAAAGACTTTAAAATGGCTATTTTATCTTTTTCTTCTCAAAGGAAATTGCTAAGTATGTCAGCAGAGCTTTGGAAGAGAAGAGCCTGCTGTACTTTGGGATGGCAAACTTGGACTTTAAATTCAGTGACCCGGTATATGCCTAATTTCTGTTGCTGGAGTCTTTCACCTCTCACCTTATGTTCCGCTTTCTGAAACTAGCCAAAAAAGGCCTCAGTCTCACTCACTCTCTGTCCTCATCAGGATCTGTGGACACCCGAGGACGTTGTGCCCGAAGCTCTGCGAGAAACCTGGAGGTGAGAGAAACAACAAAAAGGAAATGGTGAGATGAATTTCCTGGCAGCTTCAAACTTTTCTTCTTCTCAGAGCAGAGAAAGAGCGGCTTCATGAGAAACTGAAGCAGGGCCAGAAAGTGGAAGAAGTGGATGAAAGTGGATTTTATGCAGGTACAAGCACTGTTTCTGTCCACCTTGTTCCTTCCATCATCTTATAATATGTAATGTAATATAATTATTGAACTGAATTAATTACATACGTATATAAAATTTGACTCAGGTGGTCCTGTTCCTGTGGTTGGCGTAACAATCACAATGGATGATCAGGGGCTGAACGGGACCAACCGTGTGGTGTTGGATGGAGTTTTATCCCAATCTGAATGTGATCGAGTGATGCAGCTGGCTGCCGTGAGCCTTTAAATAATCATTTCAAAATCTGCCATGTAAACTACTGTTGCAGAGAGCAGCTGAAAGAGTCTCACCTCACATTCTGCATGTGTGGATAATAGGCTGCCGCATCAGTGGGTGATGGCTACCAGGGGCGGCGCTCTCCTCACACGCCGCATGAGAAGTTTGAGGGTTTGACTGTTCTCAGAGCACTAAAGGTGAAATATTATTCACTCATGACACATACGAGAATGATTCATAAAATGATAGACATTCTCACATCAAATGTCATAGATAATATACGTACTAGAAAATATCTGTTTACCAGTTGGCGCAGGATGGGCAGGTCAACCAATCAGATGCCAGGCTGCTGCATGAGATCGGGGAGACCGTAAAAGTTCTGATGGACTCATACTTCAGAAGTCACTCTCCTCTCTACTTCGCTTACACACACTTGGTGTGCCGCTCCGCCATCCCAGGTACAACGCTCTATAGTGCTATACTGCGTAAATAGGAACAATTATTCACACATAAACACATGGGCCGTCATTTATAAAATGTTGCATAGAAACTGTCCTACTTTTGATCTTACAGTAATTTCTCAAATGTGCATACGAGCGATAACAGAACGAACGCACGCACAAAAAAACGTCCGTCTGCCTCTCTTCCAGATTTGAATTTGTGTGCAGCTAAATTGTTTGCGATCTCCACCCTTATAAATGCCACCTAATTCATTTCATTAACAAATAAAAGATCACCAGTCAACATCTAAATTCTTTATTTTTATCTCTGCCACAAGGAACAGTGAGTACGTCAGCTAGACCCTGACATGGCGCTAAGCACTTGTCCACGTCGAACACCGGTTTTATGAATATTAACATTGGCATGGATTTTTGCATACACTTACTCCAAGATCAAATCTGTGCGTACGCACATTTTATAAATGAGGTCCATTATTTGAACGTCTTGCTCAGTGCATATATGACTTTATGTGTACAAAGGAAAGCAAGAGGGGAGATCAGATCTTTCTCACCCAGTTCATGTGGATAACTGCATCCTGGAGCCAGAAACCAGGCAGTGCTGGAGAGAAGCTCCTGCTTTCACGCATCGAGATCTCAGGTCCACAGATGAGTAGATGTTGGCAAAACACACAGGAAATGCACTAAGAATCAATAGGCTTGCTGATAGCTTCCTTCATTAGCATAAATTAATTTACTAAAAAATAAAATCAGAAGATTAAGATTCAGATGATGAAAGAAAGAGTGTGGTTAAAAATTCAGAATAGAAATTCATGTTTCTTACACACAAAATTAGTAAAATAATTTTTACCTTATATTAGGTAAATAGCATTGACTTTTGTGAATCCAGCTTATTCTATAATAAGCCTCATTTGAATAGAAAGGAAACATCTGGAAAATAAAGAAAATCCCTAAATATATATGTAATAGTTGTTGTTTTACTTTTCTTTAACGCACATGTTGTGATTTGTTTGTATTGTTGCCTTCACAGTGCAGTTGTTTACCTGAATGATGATTTTGAAGGAGGTGATTTCTTCTTCACTGATCGAGACACCAAAACAGTCACCGTAAGATTAATTTTCTCAATATTCACAAAAAAAATAAAGTGTCTTTTATTTAAATCCTTATTTACAGGTCATTTACCCTCTAGTTGTTCCAAACCTGTATAAATGTCTTTGTTCTGCTGTACACAAAGTAAGATTGTTGGTAGAATGTTTGTAACCAAACAGATCTGGGGCTCCACTGACCACAATAGTAGGAAAAAAATACTATGGTAGTCAATGGGGCCCAAGATCTGTTTGGTAACAAACATTCTACCAACAATCTTACTTTGTGTACAGCAGAACAAAGACATTTATACAGGTTTGGAACAACCTGAGAGTGAGTAAACGATGACAGAATTAATTTTTTTTGGGTGAACTATATCTTTAATATAATCTCCTGAATAACATTAAAGTTCACTTTAAAAAAAAACTTTTGCTGATAATTTACTCACCCCCATGTCATCCAAGATGTTCGTGTCTTTCTTTCTTCAGTCGAAAAGAAATTAAGGTTTTTGATGAAAACATTACAGGATTTTCTCCATATAATGGACTTCAATGGGAACCAAACGTTTCAAGAGAGTTTCAGTGCAGCTTCAAAGGGCTTTAAATGACACCAGACGATGAATAAGGGTCTTATCTAGTGAAACGATCGGCCATTTAAAAAATAAATAAAAAAGTTTACGTTTTAGAAGCACAAATGCTCGCCTTGCTCTGTACTATGTCGAGCGTTCGTGACTCTCCTTTTCAAACTCGTTCATTAAAATGAACAAATCTTTTTTCGAGTCATGACTCGAAGGGTCCTAGATAAGACCCTTATTCATCGTCTGGTGTCGTTTAAAGCCCTTTGAAGCTGCACTGAAACTCATTTGGACCTTGAACCGTTTGGATCCCAATGAAGTCCATTATACAGAGAAAATCCTGGAATGTTTGCATCAAAAACCTTCATTTCTTACTGACTGAAGGTGAGTAAATTATCAGAATATAAATTAAAAGTGAACTACTCCTTTAAAAAAGTCTCGTTCACTAATAATTTTGTGGATTACTTCTATATTACTTGTATACACAGGATAACTTCTCACAAAACCATTTCTATGTAGATTTCTTGCCCAAATTTGTAATCACGTTCAAACCCAATTATTTGCCTTAGACGTTCTCCGTCTTTTATTCTCTCTTTCAGGCAAAGGTTAAGCCTAGGTGTGGGCGACTTGTTGGATTTACATCAGGACCTGTCAATCCACACGGTGTTACTGCAGTAACGGAGGGTCGACGATGTGCACTGGCACTCTGGTTCACTACAGAAAAGCTCCACAGAGATATGGTACGGGGCTGTTATGGCACCTTCAAGAGATGCTAAAAGAGGAAAGATGTAATGTGCACTTATTTGTTTGTTTAACTTCATTTCAGGAACGTGAGGAAGCTGAAGCCTTATGGACAGCTGATGGACAGAGTGTAGTAAAAGAGGACAAGGGGGATACTGAGAGCGCCTTGAAATCTGCCCGCAGTGGGAGAAGCCAAGGCAAAGAGAGGAGCAAAGAGAGAGATCGAGTGACAGGCAGACGAGATGAACTGTAAAAATGACAGATGAATGAAAATATCAGAAAATTGACATCCATGGACATGAAATGCCATGCTGCTTGTTCACCTTGTCATGAACCTGTTCAACATCTGTGTGTGTGTGACTCCCCTCCCCCTTGGAGTATTTTTAAAATAAATCATGTACACACAAGACATTCAAAATCACATAAACGCTAATTTATTTTACATGTTGTGGCTTGGCTAATCGGCATTTTTGCGTGAAATTGCATCCACACCACTAGGTGTCAGTATAAATCCAAAACCATATTGATCATATCGATCAATGCAGCAAACTAAAAATTATTGTCTGCACATTTATCATTCATTTATTATTGTTTCAGAGAATCAAAACCAAGAGGAAAAAAAACATAGATTTAGACAACGGTACATTAAAACAAGTGAGTAGAGCGAGGGAGGATGGGAGGTGTGGCACATTAGCACTGATGGAACGAGTGAGAGAGAAAAAGAGGGAGGGATTGGGAGAGAGGCGGAGAGCGAGATTATAGATAATCCCTCGTAAATGAGTGCATTTGTTTATGAAGCTTACAAATCTCCCATTTAGAGTATGGAATAATAATCCAGGCAAGAAATCATGTAATCATTCATACCCGACTCCCAATTTCAACATGACGCCCTTCGATTAAATCCAAACCCTAATATCTCTGAACCTCCTCTAATGCACCAACAAGAAGAGTCTTGCCATACTTACAGCGGTCATTGATCTTCTGTATGCGTTAATCTACTTTGCGCTGTAAAATAGAGTGTGGAATGGCTAATGGTGGAAAAGGTGTTTATATGATCCTATGGGTCTGATCCTTTGGCCTGGAAAACAGTTAAGAGTTTAAGAGCAATGCAGATATGTGAAGTTACGTCTTAGTAGGCCTAAAGACCCTCGCCCTGACCTGTTTCCAAATGACGTTTGACTATCACTGAGATGCGTTCATGAATAGGCCTAATCCCTTTCTCCCTCATGGTAGCGTATAAAATTACACAACATGTTGGTGTAATGCTGGATTTTGTCCAGAGCTGATGAGCACGGATATTAATAGTGATAATGAAACGTTGATGTTATGTTACATTCTCATACATTTAACCAGGCCTTACCAGATTTGTTTAACCTGGATTTCTCAATGTAATCACACTGCTGCAGGTTTTTCACAGTGTGTTTTTTAGCCAAGTGAGTCCTCTCGATGCTTTAGACGCATCAAGAATCGCTCAACAATGGCTATACATGTGTTTTTCTGTATTAAGAAAGTAAAGTGTGAAACTTCCACTTCAGTGTCTATTAGCATTCCAACAGTCATTGTTTAAGCAATGTCACAAGAGCTGTGATTTACCATTGTGAGTGTGATAATGTTTTTATAACGGTTAAAGTCTGTGTGAATCGAAAGTTGTGAAAGATTGTGACTTATTTCGCGCATCAAGGTTGTAAGGTTACTGTACAAGAGGAAGGAGGGTTGAGGTTTGAGCAGATGTTTACATTTTAAAATTTTATTTTAATTTTATTTTAATGGACTGGTGCTAAGAGAGTGCTACGGCACTTTGTATTTCATTGCTGTGGTATTCTGTACTAATATGCATATGACAATAAACTTGAACTGAAATGAAACAGAATTCTGAATGAGGAAAAAATAGAGAGTGGGGCTTGATTTTAGTGCTCCTCATCTCTAGCTCACAGCTTCAGAGAGTGATACAGCCGCCAAACACGTTATTAATACCATGGGATGCCATTCAAGTGAGGCAGAACTAAAGACAAATTAATTCATAAACACATCAGTGTTGTTCAACAATTTGGTTAAATGGCTGATTCAATAAATCATTCGTAAAGATGTCGCCACCTACTGTCGTAACTAAGTAATTGGTGTTGTCAAAAAATTGATATTTCAAAATGCGTCAATTCTGAAATGCTTCTTTTCTGCAGTATTCATACACCTTTACCAGCTGTACGTTCTCGCGCTCTCTTCTTTCCGATTCCGAACTGACACACACCGTCTCCTCTCACTCGTCTCATTTGCTTCGGTTGATATTACTGTGACTTTTTACTTGTCGATCACGATTTAACAAAATTTAACAAGATATTACAACAAAATTACCCAAATTATATTAAAAAATTGAGATGATAAATGATCTATAGCCTATGGTAATTTTTCCCAGTGATATCGAAAATTATATTGAATATCGATACTTTTCAAGGTATCATATCGAAGTTATAGATTCCAGTATAGTTGCAACACTTGTAAGTAACCTCTCTGAAAAATTCCCACCACAGCCTGACACACTGGGAATTACACAACAAAAATGTAAAAAGCACTTGAGTACTGTGTTTATATTCATTCCATTTTATTAAATAATTATTGAAGTTACTACTTCTGCCAAGATTGGAAAGCTGCCGGACCAATCCAATTCAGGGCAGGAACTAACTAACCTATAATGAAATATATATATATATATATATATATATATATATATATATATATATATAAAATAAAACAACTGAAGTTTCATTGTTTATGGTGGGACTTTCCATTAAAGGGACACTCCACTTTTTTTGGAAATAGGCTCTTTTACCACTCACCCAGAGTTAAACAGTTGAGTTTTACCGTTTTAAAATCCATTCAGCCGTTTTTTTGATATTTAGATAATATAATCTGGATAATATCAGTAACCAGACAGTTTCTGCTCTCATTGACTTCCATAGTAGGTAAAAACATACTATGGAAGTCAATGAGACCAGAAACGGTCTGGTTACTGATATTCTTCTAAATATCAAAAAATCGCCTGAATTGATTCGAAAACAGTAAAACTCAACTGTTTAACTCTGGGGGAGTGGTAAAATGAGCCTATTTCCAAAAAAAGTGGAGTATCCCTTTAAGTTCTATTGTTTTATTGCATTAGAGATGTTTGTTTTCCCCTTTAACTCCCTAAACAAACAAATACTATTTTCCATGTTTAATAAGCTGTTTTCTTTGTGTACATTTTGGCTGATTCCACAATTTAGCTGTTTTTAAGATCTAATATCCATGTGGTCACATTTGCTCCCCATGATGTAGGCAAAACCTGACCCTACACACACACACACAGATTATCATATATGAATACACACGACGTAACTATACATGACAACAAAGGGCTTTTTACATGACTCTGAACCTAATGCTGCACATAACCTTTCCTCAATGTTCATCCATGCGAAAGTAAACCTTTCCCTTTTGTCCTAATAGAATATAATCCACCCGTGGGTCGCTTTGTCCCCCTCCTTGATAAATCGGGTGATGATTTTATCCACCATGCTGTGATGTTTTGTCTGGCTCAGTGAGGTGGGGGAGGACGAGTTATATTTATGATAATGATAGTTTGTCTGTTCTAAATCAGGACACTAAAATTGATTTAAGCAAAGCCTTAAATGTTCACAGGCTTTTAAGCTCTTTTGCTCCACAGAATTCATCCCCACTCATTTCTGTTCCCAAAACAATGTGTTTTATGTTTTGTTTCAATAGCATTTACAGGAATAAAACGTATTGCACCTTGTGCTTAACTATACTGTAGTCTTCCGCTCATCTCAAAGTATAAATATCACTCGCTTTGAAACAGTTTCCGAGGTGTACGCAACACCAACTCCCAGTGATCTGAAACCGTTCATCATTCCATACATAGACATTTCTCTCGGATCCATTATTTACTGTTTTCAGCTTCCTTGCATCACGGTGACATGTGAGAAAGTTGTGGATGTTCTGCCTGCTCATTCGTGACTAATAGGCTTCTTTAGCCATGACCCTCATCTAAAAAAAAGTGGTGTTCAGGGACATCCATGTTCAGAGTTTAGGGATGTATCACCAAGGCCTTTCGGATCAGGTCGGGAAAATTCTGTTCTATACTGTTTTCAACATGAGCACTATTCATCTCAAAGCAAACTTAGCCAGCTTTGGCATTTCTATTTTCTTAACAGGGAAAATGAATATTCTCTGAACAAAACAACTACAAAAAAAAAAACAATAATAAAAAAGATAGAAACAGAAAACGAGTAAAATTATGCTCTCTGTTCCTTCACCTTGGCCCTCCACACACCTGTTTTTTTTGTCATGTGACCCCATGACCTGATTCTCTCCACTATTTAGTTCTCTTGTCTTTTGCTCTCTGTTCTCTCCTCTCCTAACAGATTTCCCTCCCTCACGCTCTCTCCATCCAAGGCTTTATCCTTTCAGCCCTGATCTCACTTCATCCCCTCCAATCCTCATCTAGCCATCACAAAAGCATCACAGAGTTTACAGAGAGAGAGAAGGGATCAGAAGGTGCGTAAATCAGAAAACCTGAATGAACACTGTCCCGAGAAAAGACAAGTGGATAGAGAACTGGAAAGGTATAGGAATTACAAATAGAGCGGAGAAACGACCAAGAGGAACGGGTAAGTGAGAGGTTGTTTTTTTACTTATTAAATAGTGTATTTTGGGTTCATTTTCAATTGCTTTAGTTGTAACTTATGATTATGGCAAAGTTAAGATTATGATACTGAATTCCACTCAGAAATGTCCACTTCAGGTCAGAGCAAAACCGTAACATTAGTGTCAAACAGTTTTATGCTTTAAATCCATAAAAATATATTATTATTATTATGTTAAATTGTTGGTCTGTCATTTTTAGTCCGCATAATTTATTTTTTTAAACGAGGCAAGCCATTGAATAAAATGGATATTGGTTAAAAAAAAAAAGAATAATAATTTCTCTACATTACAAAGAATGCTTAAATAATTTCCAATGCCCTAATAGTTATTCATGAATGTAAATTATCAGCCCAAACATTCTTAATCATTTTTAGGTTCTGCAAAATAGTTATAGGACTTTTTAACCATGAAAAGTATGTCAATTACTGAATAATATTTGGGAAGAATGTTCTTTCAACGAAGTAAAAATTCAAATGACGGCTAGGCCACACTTTCACACCCATTCCTAGTTTTTTCTTTATCTCTCTCTCTGTTTCTATCCATCTACCCCCCTCCCCATCTCTGCTGTAGCTCTTATCCAGATGCAAAGAGCAGTCAATAATCGGATGAGAGCAGATCAGATTTAAAAGGCCTCCCTTAAAATCTCAGCAGTGTGGATTTAAACTCTCTCTCTCTTTCTCTCTCTCATTATCTCTCTCTGGTTATGGTGTTTGGTGCTCACGGTCTTGTTGGTAATAACATTTTTCAAGCAGTTTAATTCACACTGATGTCAAATACAAAAATTCCAGGTATGAATTTCACCTTTAGTTCTAGAACAGGGACTATTTACACAGGACAGCTCCCTCCCACCGGCCCACCTCTCTCCCATCCACACCCTTGTTCTCGCTTTCTCCTCTCAAACAAATTTTAGGCAAAAGTCATTTGGTCATGAGAGCTCGGGAGATACACAGAGAGATTCAAAAAAGAATTCAACAAAAGGAAATAGCTTGCGTTAATCTTCTTTTAGGTAAGGTAAGACATTATATTCAAACTTAAGAAGTATGCTTTATGACTCGCAAAATATATTTTCACTGCACACTAATTATAAAAGCAAACTGGGGTCAACCATCCAAAATGAAGGGCAAAATTATTATAGATGACAATACTGAGAGAGTTTAACCTCATCAATAATATATGACATGGATCTCAGAATTTTTAGGTTTAATTGTTTGTTTGTTTTTCCTTCATTGTTTCTGAGGGAAAATTAAAGCAGTTGTAATGTCCTAATAGAGTCACAATTATTATTGATACTCAGTAAAGTCCCTTTTATTTCATGGGAGCAGTTGGACTTAAAAATGAATATATATATGATGACTAAACTATCTATGTGTGTAATATCTGAATAAATGAGAGCAGGTGTACGTCAGTGTGCTTGACTCTGACTCATTACGCCATTGCATGTTTGTGGTGGTACAAGTGAAATTTTGCATGCATCTTTATTTGTGAGGATTTGCAAACCAGGTCGAAGGGAGTTTGAATTGCAAATAGCTGTTGAAGGGACAACTGAAGATAAATCACAGTGAAAGCAACAACAACAAGCTCTCCCCACAAGCAGTCGAATAAATTGCGTTGTCATGATTACTGTAATAATTAAATGTATATTCACAGGAGTTTTCCCCAGCATTCTCTTGGATCTACTGACCTCACTTCCTGTCTGTGTCTGTGGGTGATCGTGCCTGACAACCGTTGCCATGGGTGAAATGGAGCAACTGCGAAAGGAGGCGGAGAGCCTGAAGGATGACATCACTGTTAGTGTCAATAGTCCCCCACCTAAATAACTCCATTAACATTTACAGAACATCACTGACTCATTCTCAGGTATAGATCAGCTGTAATACCTGTATGTTTTGTGCTCTATAGGCGGCCCGTAAAGCAGTGCAGGACCTGACGCTGCAGGATCATGTGGCGGGGACAGCTGTTGTGGGACGTGTCCAGCTAAAGACCAGGAAGACATTGAGAGGACATCTGGCCAAAATCTATGCCATGCACTGGGGGACAGATTCAAAGTAAACACAATAATATATGCAAATAAATGCAACACAGGCTCTACCACATGTACTAGTCTACAAGGATATCGACATACACATATTTACATGATACAGATTTGTTATTTTTAATAGACTTG